CTCCAGTCCTCGAGTCAGGAGGACCTGAGTTCAAATCTGGCTTCAGACACATAACAACTTACTAGCTGTGTGACCCTGGGCAAGTCATTTAGCTCCATTGCCTAGCCAAAAAAAAAAAAAAAAAAAAAAGACTTTAAATTGACACAACAGCTGGGGACCAGGTTTAAATTTTGACTTAGTCTTGAATAATAATATACCAGGGACCTATGAGGACTCCCTCCACCTTTATCCTAAAGTCTTGGAGGATTATCTGAGATTAAATTATTTGTCTCACTCAGAGGCAGGATTTGAATCCAGGTCTTTCTGACTTCAAGTTGAACACTTTATCCCTGATGCTACAGCACCTCTCTAGTAATAACTGACATTTATATAGCACTTACAAAGGCGTACTCATTTTTTCACATGTCTCCCAAAAAGCCTATGACTTAATAAAAGTGTTATCTGTATTTTACAGATGGGGATACTGAGGCTGAAAGAGATGAAATGATTTGCTCAACCTCTCACAGCTACTAAGAGGCAGAGCTGGAACTTACAAACAGGCCTTCTGACCCTAAATTCACTGTTCTCTCCACTATATATCACACTTCCCATTAACTAAATGAGGAATCTTCCGAAAGATCCAACCTTCCTTTGACCCAATTTCTTCATCTTTAAAATGCACATGACGCATGTTCTAACTCTCTCACATTGCTGGTATAAAGATAAAATGAGACATTTTATGCAAAATAATTTTTATAAGCTACAAATGCTATGTTAAATGCAAGTTATTTTTTAGCCAATCTAATAACAATCCAGGGTAAAGAAATAAAATGTATTCTGGTAGTATGGTGCAGGTCACTGTTTTGAAGGTTTTAGAAAATGTTTGTTTTCTAGCATATCTAAAAACTTGGAACATAGTATAATCCTGATCATCAAATCTTCTTCTGAAATACTTTAGTTATACAGCATTTACAGGGCTGCATACAGCATTGGTTAATCACCTACAGAATATGAAGCCAGCTATTTAAGAAATACATAAATTTAAATTTGCTGAACATTTAAGTTCAATTTTTTAAAATTACACTATATTGCTGTGTTACAAAGGATCTCATCAAGGACATTGGCTAAATGAATAGAAATGTCCTCAAAGTGATCTTATGGATTTTGCCAAAACTAAGAAAACTTAGAATTATGTTATCTGTTAATTAGAAGCCATTGTGCTCAGATAACACAGACAGGAGAAGCATAGGGACTGGGCCAGTGATTTTATTGGTATAGAGAACTACCAGATGAAAAAAAACCATTCCCTCTTTAACTGTAAGTTGGCACTTACTCTGCTGTCTGCAATGTATAGTCTTAGAGAGACCTGCTCAGAGCCACAGTTTGAGTCAAAGGAGGAACTTGAACCCAGGTCTTTGCAGCTGCTCCAAGGCTGGCTCTCTATACACTATGCCACAATGCCTCCAACAAGAGCAGATTATATCCAATATATTGAAATCATCCATTACCACCTGTTTATAGAAGAATTCTTAAGGGCTTTCTTAACTGTAACCATAACAATTAACCTATTTCTAGAATTCATTTTTAACTTTGGATAAACGACTCTTCCCCTGCAGGCCAACTGAATAAACGGTACCTTGATTTCCAACATTACCAAATGCATTTAAAAAACAATTTAACCAATAAAAAGAAACACCTGTTACATTAGTTAACAATGCTACCTAATACCTTGCAACACATGTACAATCAGAAATGCCTAAAAATTCCAACAATGGCGTCCTATGTAGTAGTTATGCCTAGGACTTAGAGGTAGAAGGGACACTAGATGTCATCCAGTCTATCCTCTTATTTTAGAGGAGGAAACTGAAAAGTCTAGAGATTTGCCCAGAGGCCAGGAGCTGGGATTTGAACCCAGGTCCTCTGACTATATATAGGCAATGCTGCGCTCTTTCCAGAGTACCCTCTGTAATGTAAGATAATAGGTTCATTGATGAGAGCAGCCATTCAGCCTGAAATTCTGGATGAGTCAACACAGCATGAACCAGCAATCACTCCCTGTTCTTCCCTCTTTCCATTTCTTCAGTGCTTGCATATATCTAGTAGGCACTTAATAAATGTTTGCTGAACCTAAGTCATCCAGCTGCAGAAGACACGAGAACCAGATTTACCAAGAAGATACCAATACAAAAAAGGGCAACTTTATTAAAGTACTGAAGGGGTTTTATTTATTCATTCTAAAGTTCCAATTTAATACTCCCTTAGCATTTTCTTAAAGATTTAATTGAAAAGGAAGCATAAAACATAAAAGAGAATAAAATAAGAAGCTATTAAACAAATGGAAAACGGCAAGAAGACAGAAGCCAATATCATTACTGAGATAAAATGTTGGCCCTTAAGATCATAGTGACCTTCCAGCAACAGTGTAAAACCCTAAAAAATATTAATGATGTTCAGGTGAAAATTTATTCTGCTTAATTATACTCCTATTGCCCTTAAAGTTATATACTCATTAAATATATATATCATTTATTTATAATTTATAAACAGGAAAAAACCAGCCTTTTAGAGATGGAAGTGTGGGGGGGGGGAACAAACAGCAATAAATAATCAGATTTTCAACATTTTAGAAAAGAGAATGAAAATCAGAGGCTCAGAAAAATGTGATTTATCTACAAATGATAATAAGGCATAGCTTTTGAAGCTGTAGGCAGAGAGGACTGCATGATACCAGCTGCAGCAGAAATCCTTTATTTGCTTTCTCAGGATGCATTTGAAGACCAGAGCAAATAATCACAGCCAGAACAAGAATTTTTAGGATTCTAAAAGCCACTTAATTAGGCAGCTATGCTCTTGGTTTGCCTCTCCCAGAAACCAAAATAAAATCGATTATTTTAAACAGAAACGAAAGATCAAGGAAGCGCTTAAACAGTTTTTCTGAATGAAATTGATTCATTCAGCAAACATTTATTAAGGGTCTACAAAATGCAAGGCGAAGTGATAATTTTTTTTTTTTAAGTCATCTCCTGCCACCAAGAAACTTACATTTTACTGGAGGTGAGGGCAATATGCTATGCTCTCAGCTAAGTATAATACAAGGTGAAGTGTTATGGAAGTGAAGGAGAGATCCCAACGTAGTGCTCTAGGAAAAGCTGAGAGAGAAAGATCACTTTCATCTGGGGGTAAGGAAGCTGGAAATTAGAGAAAGTAATTCACGGAGCAGCTATGTGGTGCAGTGGATAGAGCATTGTCCCTGGAGTCAGGATGACCTGAGTTCAAATTTGGCCTCAGACGCTTACTAGTTCTGTGATCCTGGGCAAGTCACTTAACCCCAATTGACTCCAAAAAAGGAATTAATTAAAATAATTCAAGAAATTCATAAAGGCTTATCACCTGAGCTGATAAAGATAAGTAATACATTCCAGGCACAGATGATGACCTCCACAAATGTATGGTGGTGGGAGCTGTCACGTTCAAGGAACAACTAGTTTTCTATTTTGGTAGAATTATTAGGGTATGTAAAAAGGAGTCATGTGAAATAAGTTTGTAAAAGTATGCTGGGTCAAGTGTGGAGGGCCTTAAATGCCAGGTAACGTGCTTAGATCATCTTATTCTAGGGCCAGCAACAGGAAGTCACTGAAGGTTTTTGTATAAGGATTTCAATGGGTCAGATCTGGGCTTTATAAGACGTTCACCCCTAATAGAAGTTAGTCTTCACTCCCAAATTCTCTATTTTATTGTAACACTTTGAAAATAAAAATCACATGTTGGCATCACAACATCCTCCAACATTAAAGGTCATGGCTACAGTACCCCAGAACTAAGCCAGGCTATGATTTTCAACCCTGCTATTAAGAAGCTGACATGACCAGGACAGGGCAGGCTCAGAAGGTCTGTTAGGGAGACAAAGTCCAAGTTCATCTTTTCATCTGGCTAGCTAATATCGTTACGTTGCAGGCTAAGAATATTTACAAATCCTTCCTGTTTATAATTAATCCACTTTGCCAGTGCCTTCAGCTATATTTAGAATCTCCTGGCTGCCTTCACGGGCCAGATTGAGGGACACTGTCTACACAGTGAAGGTTCAACGTTCAAGTAACTGCCTCAGTCCCTCACCTGCCAAATAATTTGGCTGTTTGTGAGATCTTACCTTTCGTCCCTCAGGCATCCTTCAAAAAATAACTGGGTTAATTTCTTAAAACCTTTGCTCTAACTGGGCTTCTCTTGAGCCTACATATTAACCCTTTGAAAGCTTCCTCCGCTAATAAATAAAGTCACAGACACAACTTGAGAAGGCAGGTTCCTGAGGCCTGGCCCAGTAATAGATGCTCCTTCTACCATCCCTTTATCCAGTCCCGAAGGCTCTCTTTTGCTGCAAATAGGTGGTACATTGGATAGAGTGCCAGGTCTGGGGTCATGAAGATCTGAGTTCAAATCCAGCCTCATACACCTCCTAGTTGTGTGACCCTGGGCAAATCACTTAATCTCAGTTTCCCCATCTGTAAAATGGGAATAATAGCACCTACCTCTCAGGATTGTTGTGAGATAACTGTAAAGCGCTTGGTACATAGTATGTGCTATATAAATGTTAGCTATTATTTTTATTCTTACTAAAATCAGCCCCAGATACAAGCTGCTTTGCAGCAATGAATATACCAAAGTATGAAATATGGCAAGAGAAATTCATGTCTTTTCTGTCAGAGAAATAAAGTTTCTTTGAGTGCTTGTGATTGCTTTCATCATATAAAGAAATCCCCTTGCCAACACTGAGGCAGCAGGTTCCAGGGAAGAAACAACCAGTAACCATTCCATGACAGTTGGCACAGAGAAGACACCACTGGCAACAGGTGAGTGTTTGCCATCTTTAGGGAAAAACCAAAGGAAGGTGGGCAGGAGGAGAGTGAAAAGCAATGACATTCACATAACTATTCAAAGAGCTTTAAAGTATTTTTGTTTGGAGGCCATGCCATAATTTTCCCCAGAATTCTTATCTATAATCTTTACAAATCATAAAAATGTGCATGTTTAATTCAACACCATCAATCAAGAAGCCTTTATTAAGTGCTTACTGTGTGACAAGCACTATGCTAAGTGCTGGGGATGGCAAAAAAAAAAAAAAGACAAATCAATATATAACATGTATGACTTAAAGTGCTTTAAAAATGTGTATCCCCACTACCTTCTTGCCTGAGTAAACCTTTGTCCTTTAATAATGCATATGTGACTGACTGGGCCCTGAACTAGGGCCATCTTCTATGTCAACTAGCCAAGTATATCAGTAAATACTGTATATCCAGATAGTTTCTGAAGAGCCATTAGCTTTAGAGGAAGATGACCATGAACCCTTAGGATCAGAATTTATTTAATTTTTTATGCACTAAGCATAGACTACCAACCAAATATACTATAGATGTCCTTAAAAAGTTAAAGTTATGGAGCTATAGGAAAAGCAGACCCACAAGCATCCATAAAGTGACATAAGTCTCAGAAAAATGGAGTTTGTGCATTTTCCTCTCAACCAATCTATTATAAATTGGTTTTTAAAATTAGTACTCCATTTGGTGCTTTTTCACTAATGTCTTCTACCTAGAGGCCTCACTGGGGTGTGGAGGGTTCTAAAAGGCTGACCAGCTTGGTGACCCTCATGGGTCCCATCAAGCTTTAAACGCTATGATCATGAGCTGAGGGAAAGGCCCCACTGACCTCTGAGGATCAACCTAAGTACAGAGAGGCTCATGATCAGAAACTGACCTCTAGATCACTGGCTTTCTGTTTGGCTACTGAAACTCAAGAAACTGCCAACTAAGGGGGTGAGATGGGACTGTAGCCTGCACAAATAGTACAATTCTATCTATGTACACCGGAAATCCACATCTTGTGCTCAGCCAATGGGAGAACCTGCTCTAAAAGGAAAACATTAAGGGAACTAAAAATGCTGCTTTCCACCCTGGCATGGCGCTAGAGTCATAGTCTCTACCTCTATGACAAGACTCAGGACATATTCAGTTAGTAACAGATCTGGTGACCAGTTCAAAATAGAGCATGTTCAGTGTGAAAGGGAAGATCTCATTTTCATTCCTTTTCTTAGGAATTGTTTATCTTCATTACATTTGGGTATTTCTAGACTGGCTTCACATGGATATGCAATGGGGATTTCTTTCAAGGTAGAGACCAGATGGATATATGGTAGACAGGGTATTTATGACCTATATTTGTTGATGGGACCTGCTTTTAGACCCCGTTCCACATCTTAAATCTCCAAGACTGTAAGGCCAAACTATGGTGCCTACAGTCTTCTATAATGAAGACTTAGAGGGTTTTGACCACACTGACCTCTGTTCTCTCACATAAAACACATGTCTGAAATAGGTCCATTAACTAGGGGAGACAAGGGTCTCCTAGGAAAATCGGACTTGGTAAGTGGAGATGTTGGAACAGGCTTATTACCATTACTCTCATTCCATGAATCCTCTTATTCAAAACTGAGACCCCTTCTGAAGGCTTCTTTTCCCCTGGGTGAGGCTACAAAGAAATAACCCAGAACTTTCCACAAATATTTGAACGTGACCCCCCTAACACCAAAGATACCATTTCTACAGATTCATCCCCCAACATACATGGTTGGCTGTATGTCTTAGATCTTTCCTTTGTTAAGTGAATCCTTCCCCACCTCACCACTCCCCCCACCCACATACACACACACTGAAGATTTTGTGCCTGTGCATTCTACTCTATCATCGTAGAAAAACAAACATATCTAGCCAAGATGGCATTTCCATCTCTCCCCGCCCCCACTCCTGTCATACATGTTATAATCATGACAATACAGTTTGTTGGGACAGGAGGTCTTTCCTCAGGCTCCTTCTCCTTGGCCGCAAGATGACCAGTCCAGAAATCATGGAGTTTCAGATGACAAAATGATGCTGATCCTTCCCATTCAACCCCAAAGTTTCCAGACATATTCCACATTCATAGTCTGGACTTCACAACCAGGTGTTCTTCAAATCGCAACACAAAGCTTAGCTTTTCCCCAAACTGAAGACTTGTAAGCAAGTTCAAAGCCTGCAGACAATAGGCACTTCCAAAGGTTGGCAACGACAAGGAGACGAGTCTGCTAAGGAGGGCACCATAACCAGGTCCTTACTCAGGATACCTCACATATCCTGGACATACATGCCCACAAGGTGAAGGATTTTAAGTAGTTGGTGGGTCATGCTTTTTCTTCTTGCCCCGACAGGATTTGCAAACACAGCAGATGATGCAGGGGGAGGCCAGTAGCAGCAGAGGCGAGGTCACCAAGGCAATGATGCCCAATCCCACAAGAATCCCTACAACCTGAAAAATTAAAGACAAGAGTATGGCGTAAACCAATAATCAAGTGTTCTTATAGTATAGTACACACAAGTCCCTTCAATACATACACAGGAAACAATAATGATGAGCTTTAACTGTGGTCCAGCCACAGCCTGAACTAGAGCTGCAGAAGCAGGAAAGTCCAGCATCATAAACACAATAAGGAGCAGGGAGTCCGGCTCCAAATCTGGCTCTGTTGTCAACCCTGGTACGACCAAAGATGATTGCTCCCTTTGCAGTAAGTAACTAATACCAATTTATAGGAGGTTAGGTGATGCAGCATTACATAGTGGCTATAGCACAGACTTGGGAGTCACAGAGTCATGAAAACCCGAGTTCAAATCCTGTCTCTGAGAATTAGTAACTGTTTGATCATGGGCAGGCACTTAATCTCACATGATCTCAGTTTGTTGCATCTGTAAAGCAGGGATATTTAATATTTATGATGTGGAGCTGTAATGAGGCCCAAATGAGATAATATGTAAAGAACTTAAGTTGTTTAATTGTTTTTCAGTCGTGTCTTACTCTTTGTGACCTCATTTGGAGTTTTCTTGGCAAAGATACTGGAGTGGTTTGCCATTTCCTTCTCCAACTCATTTTACAGATGAGGAAACTGAGACAAACAGGGTTAATGACTTACCCAAGGCCACACAGCTAGTAAGTGTCTAAGGCCAGTTTTGAAATCAGGAAGAGCAGTCTTCCTGACTCCAGGACTGGTGCTCTAACTACTACACCGCCTAGCTTCCCAAAGAAATTTAAAGCACTATGTAAATGCCAGTTATTGTTAATGATGGCTCTGGCTGAAAAGCAAGGGGCCCTTAATGAACCCAAAACGATTCCGGGTGGGAGAAATAACTAAGCCACTTAAGGGGCCTATGTTAGGCCCCTATTTTGTAATTTATACATACACTGAGCTGAATAATCAGAGTAGCTAAGTGACAGCAGTAAACTCAATGATTTCCTGGGTCTGCTTTAACTTCTCTTAGACCTATACTCATAGCAAAAAACCAGAATAATTCCTCTTTATGTCAGGAGGACAGAGAATATGTGCTTCCAATTCTGTACAGAACCATAGGATCATGGATTTAAAGCTGGGAAGAGACCTCAGAGGCCATGAAATCCAATCTTGTTGTTGTACGCATGAGGATAAAAGTTAAGTGACTTGCCCAGGGTCACACAGCTAGGAAGAGTCAATGGTAGGACTTGAATTGAGGTCCTCTTGATTTAAAGCCTAAAACTCTATCCACTAAACACTACCTGTCACTATAGGCAATATTGAGACCACTCTTCTGGTTCTCTGAGGGACTGTTGTTCTCACTCAGCCTCACACACAGCCTTTTGCACTAGGCTATCATGCTCCTCCATCACTTACAACTAGCTATACCATATACCACGGGAAGCTTCCCAGACAAATCCTCTTAGACGTTGCACACCTGACTTATCCCATCACTCCCTTTCAAATCACAGTACCTGTGTTCGGTTCCACATCACCGAGGCTCGGGAGTGACCCAGTTTATTCCGACAGGGCCCTTTATCATAATGTCTGAGGAAAATGTCATTCTGAAAGAAAAGAAGGAGTCCCAGTCAGCAGCCATTTTAAACTGAGAAAAGAATACATGCCTAATAAATCCTTTTTACCAAGTGTCAGAATGGTAACTAGGGCTAGATAGTTGGGGCTTTGCCATGGGCACAAAATTTAGGGGATGCTGACAGCCCCTGAAGTTCTTTTTAGCATAATAAGGTCAGCTCACCCCTCCCTGATGCTGCACCTGCACCCACAGCAGCCTGCAGGCAGAGGTCATGCACTGGCGTCCCAGGGCCTCTGTCTCCCTACCACGGGCCGATGTTCATCCCCCTCAAATTAGGGCACCTTTCATGTTACTCGCCTAGGGCATGGTTTGTGGAGCTTGACCTCAGTATAAGAAACAAAAAAATCCTAATTACAACTCTGCCAAGAGGAGCTCCAGAAATCAAAGGTAAATGTTATTATCAAATACACCTCCCAGCAAGCCCGTGATCTTCAGACATGTGGTTGAGTGACTTCAGAAGTTATCACATATAAAGGGACAGGAAATCAGAGACAGTTCCTAGATATTTCTAAAAGGCAGTTTAATAATCTTTGCTCATACCAGTCCTCTCCTAAATATATGGTGCCTTGTATGGGCAGATCAACCATGCATGAAATAAAAACCAGTGGATGAGTACTTGTACTTAGTACTTGACCGCCCTAACATGTGGCAGTCACTGAGCTAGGTGTCATGGGGGAGTAAAAGACAGTCCACAGGTGTTTACTGGGGAAATAAGATTCACTCAATGTCAAAGTCAAAGATTTCTCCAAGTGAAAAGAATAGCACCAAGTAGAACAGTATGATTATCTCTATGTGCTAAACCATGTGGTACAATTAGAAAACAAAGTAGTATTTTACAAGGTCTTAATCATCTGGTATAGGTAAAAGGAACTGGGGAAACCAATGTGGTCTTGCCTCTACCCTTTGCACAGATAGTCCTTTATGCCTGGAATTCTCTCTCTACACACCTCTGTGCCACCTCCCTTAAGAGGAGTTTCCTAATGCAATTTCCCTGGTTGTTAGATCATCTCCCCTCCAACAAATCCCTATGCATTTATTTTGTATTTATTCTATGCTTACTTATCTCCAAACATGTTGTATATCCTCCCCTTGTAAAATTAGGAAAGGGACTGGGCACGTGATGGCAAGGAATGCTTTAGGAATGATCCCCTTACGGAAGGGCATGGACAAGAGTGTCACAGGACCTCCAGGCATGTGAGATCCCTTACTAGGGAGATTACCCACATCAGTGAGATCATAGATCCCATGGAGTAGTTGGGTCAAAGTATTATCACAAAAATTGATTTACAAATGGATCAAAATCAGCAAGAGAAATAAATCTGAAATCACTCTTCACTTAAATGCCTCCAGATTGGGATTTGGACAATGACCCCTCAAGCCCCATCATTAGAACATTCTTAGAAACCAGACACCCACCATCTGAAATTTGCACAGAGCAACACATCTCAATATGCATTCAATGCCGAAACCACTGGTTTAAACACAGCAAAAATGATGAATAGGAAATTGATGAATAGAACAAGATGCTTCCTTCCACATCTGATGTCAGTGTTATGAGCCATTTAACATCTGCTTCATCTCATCTCAAGTGCCAGAACTGTGTGTTCTTTACAGCACCCATTCACCAAAACACAAATCAATCTGCCAAAGAAGACTGAGATCTGGTGTGCACATTTATCTCTTTGTTTTCTACAGAAGGCGTAACTATGTCATGAGCCCAGAATCTGAATATGGCCCCTTCTAATACACTAATGGAATAAAGAGAAAATTATCAATTCTATCATTCATTTAGCCTCAAATGAATTCATTTCAATTATTCACAAAGTACCATATGCCATATGCCAACAAGGGACTATACAATCCTGGTTTAATTCTTCTTCCAGAATGTCCTATATTATAATTGTAGCAGGCTTCCAACGATGGTCTTTCTCAAAAGGGTTAAGATCAAACTACATAAAAAACAATAGCCTGGGAAGGAATTCTGTTGCCAACTTAATTTCTGTCTAGATCAAGAGCCTACCCATTAACAATTTTTAAAAAACCCGTCTTTGTGGAAGGGGTGGATGATGGGAAAAGCAACCATTTGACCAAACAGGTTTATGGTTTCTCTGCCTGGAAGCCATCTTGGATAATGGGTTTCATTTTAATGGGTTGGACCTTAGGCAGAGGATGAACAAAAGCACTAGTTCATGTTTACTGAACGATCAGCTGGTGTTTAAAACTACACTATATACAAACTGCTCATTTCAATTCAACAAATATTATTAAGAGCCTCTTAAGTGCAAGGCACTGTGCTAGGCACTAGGGATACAAAACGAAAAAGCAAAGAATATCTGCAGCCCTTAAGGAATTTACGAACTTTTGTCCATCAATTCTAGTCAATCAATTTGGAGGAAATGAACTGACATACCAGATACAAGGAGCAAAATAAGGTATGTGGCAAATAATTAAGAACAATCATAGCAGGGGTTCTTAACTAGGGTCCACGTATTTGTTTTGCTAGTATTTTGAAAAATGTATTTTAATAGAATTGGTTTCCTTTGTAATCCTATGTCTTTTATATATTTAAAAACATTACTCTGGGAAGGGGTTCATAACCTTCACCAGATGCCCAAAGGGATCCATGACACAAGGAAGGTTAAGAACCTATGGTCTACATTAACGACCCCAACCATGTAAAAGAAAGGGCTGAGAAACACTGTCATCAGCAAACACTGCAAACCACCAGATTTGAAGAATGCAGCCCTTGAAGTTTGATTAACATGTCCAAGAATATCAGTAGCAACCCTGGAATGACTGTGTTGTATCATGACTGAACTGAGAGAGATGAATTTTTGCAGGTCAAATTTGTAGTCACTTCTAATCAAGCTCAAATAACCTGGCACTCTAGGGCACTGAACCCCACATGGGCCTTCTCACTACTCCTTCTATACCCCTTCCTTTATTGGCCCGGAGATTAACACTTGACTATGGACTTGTGACAGGCAAACTTGATTTTAAAGAAAGGAAAGGTTCAGTCATATGGTGGGGTAGAGAAAGGGAGAGAAGGAGATGAAGAATGATAATTGGGCCAGAGACTTTTCACCTGGGAAAGGGTGCCTAAATATAGAGTGGCAGCACTAGCTTGTGTACACATGGATGGAGAACTACCTTCAGAGTAGCTTATAAACTCATCTAATCTAAGAAGAATTTACCAAGGCCCTACTATGTTCAAAGTATTGTCCTACATGTTAGAATATAAATACAACCTACTCCCCAAAATGTTCCATTGTCTCAAGATGCTTACATTCTATGAGAGGTGGGGTGAGGATAAATGTATTACATTTAAAATGCATTACATTTATGGGACATAGTGACATCTATTCCAGGTTCAGGGATGGAAGAACAACTTAGTGGCTTGGGAACATGCTGAGGTGTCACCCAGAGAGTAGGAAATACTCCCAAAGCAAACTTTATCTTTTGAGCCCATGCCCTGGGTGCCCCTCCCTCCCTCTGGGAGGAGGATGGACATTAAGAGTTCCTCCCAGATCTTCCATTTAAGGAGGACACCCAGGGCAGCCATACTTTCAGTTCCCAACCAGCTGTACTCCTTTGAATTTATCATGCCTTTGAGTAAGGTACTCTTCCCCTCCCCCTGCCAACATCTTTTTATGTGCTGTCTTCTCCCATTAAATTGTAAGCTCCTTGAGGACAGGGACTGTCTGTCTTTTGCCTTTCTTTGTATGTCTAATGCTTAGTACAGTACCTGGCACATAGTAGGCACTTAATAAATGTTGATGAACAGTTAAGGCAATGCTCCCAATTCCACCAGCTGAGAAAACCTTCAGATAATGATCTACAGAAAGACCAGTTAAAGTTGGGGAAGTCCTTTTTCTTAGGAAAAATAAGTTTTCTGTTTCAAGACCACTAGATATATTAAAAAATGAAAACAGGCAGAATGCTGGCTCTCATTCAGGTGGGTTGAGACAAACACCCCATGAGATGGGGCCCAGCATGAGGACTTACATCCAAGTTCTGGAGACAGTACCAGCAGAATGTGTGCTTACAATTCTTACACATCATCTGAGCACAGCCTTCATTCCGTTCAATGTAGACCCGGCAAACAGGGCACTGCTTAATGGGAGCTTCTGCATCCATCCCAATGAGGGCTCTAGAAAGAGAAAAACAAGGAGTAGGAAAATAAATGTGGACTACTCAATCAGCAAGAACTACAGCTGTATCAACTAAGTAAGAAGGTAGGTGAGGAAAGTGGTCTAAGTAAAACATAGCATCCTTCTTGGAAAGGATCTGTATTGAATTTCCAGGTCCAATGATAACAATTAAAGTCAATTTTCTGTTATCCACGCTGGTATGTGTGTGTTTGTGTTTGCACATGCATGCACAGAAGCCACAAATGTGTATCCATGTGATTTTTAGGGGAGGTTGGAAAATTGAGGACAGAAGGTCAACAAACCCCAAATATGTCACAGGGAACTCAAAAGTACAGGTAACCAAAAATCCATTTACATTTGGTTTTGGAATATATTATTATCATTTTTCTTGGCATATATTTATCTCCCTAACTGTGATTTGCTAAGCTAGTATGAAAAATGAATTGGTATTCCTTGTGCACACTGACTGTAAGAGAAACTCCTAGGGGTAAGCTACAAAGTAGGAGAATTGAGCCCAGGACTAAAAAATGGTCATCTACATGTGAAGAATTAGAAAGTAAAATCAAGACTTGAATAATGACCAACATATGAGACAGAAATGACAACTACTTATGTCGCTTATAATACACAGGGAAGAGCTGTGATAAATAAATTAACTGTGACAACCCCTCCACCCCCTAGACTGAGATGAGGTAGTAGATAATAATGTTGAAATCACTAGTGGTGGAAAAGTAGAAAGAAGGAAAAGTGAATCATTCCCAGCATCCCTAGTCAGCTAATAAGGGCCATCAAAGATATCACAACCACAGTGTGAGAAAGACAGGAATGGCTAGGCAACATCTGGCTGGTCAGTCTACTAAACCTACCTGTAATCTGTGCTAGACCTCTAATCCTGCTAATTCTTCACAGAATATCCAAGGACATTAAGATATGTCAGTAGTAACACTGAGAATCCTAAAAAGTCACACTACCAGCTTGGAAGCAGTGCTAGGGTCTTTCCATTGAATGGACTGTAACACTGCTAGCTATGTTCCTGTTAATACAGAACACTCATAGCCCCAAGCAAAACCAGGGATCAAACACGAAGGTCATACTCAGGGAGCTCCTGTTTTAATGAAAAACCTCCCAGAACCAGATGGTACAAGTTTTACTGATTCATATCTCACCACATCCTAAGCAGGGGTGCCACCTTCAAAGAACCTGATTTCTCACATAACATGCAAACTATGTGATGATAAGTATTCATTGCACCATTGCATTTTAAGAAGACTTCTTTCCCTGTGAATGTTTTCAATGCAATATAATATTTTTTACTCAGTAACCAGATCTCAAAACATCCTTGGGAGGAAAGAAGGAGAATAAAAATAAAAATAAGAATAAAAAAAAAACAATAAATACAATCAGGAAAACTGAGGCACACAGACATTAAATAAGGAAGTAGATATATGGCTGAGCCAGGATTTCCCATTGAATTCCTACTGACCACAGTGACTCTCCCACCACTGGATGAGGCAAAGGAAACCAAATAAAAGCTCTATACCTTCAATAATACCTGAAAGATCCTTTGGCCCTAAATAATCCCTTAAGAAATACTCTCTTAATTCCAGGAGCATTTTGATGATATTCATGTATGCTCCTAAGGAAAGTGTTGTGCTAGAATTTAAAGAAAGTGGTTACTCCATGCCACATTAAAGGCACTTAAAACCCTGGAAGAGCATTTAGAGTTCTAGAAAAGTTGGTAGATCACAGAACTTGAGAGTTGGAAGGGACTTTGGCAACAGCCCTTCATACTAAATGGATCCCTACCATAATCTCCCTTGTTGAGATAAGAGATCTCCAACAAATTTAGTTCAGTCTTACCCATGTTCTGTTGGTAAGACAACAACAGGCTGGCTGTCCTGACAAGAGCGATCAGCATGCCAGGTATCTTTGCAACATGAGCAAAATGTCAGGTGACAAGAAGGACATTCAACCTTTGTGGGCTGTCCTGAATTATTCTGTTCAATATGGCACACAGTCTGGCAGTCAGCAACAGGACACCACGTCCGGCAAGGGTCCAAATGGACTTCTGGAATAAAAAGAAAATGATGGCTGAATTTCATTACTAGGGTCTTGACGAAGTCTTCCTACTCATGAGTCCTGATTTTGAGAGAAGTACAAGAACCGTTATCTGGAAATTGGGGTATTTGTAACCTATCACTTACATAGCAAAGTGCTGCCAAGGACAACTATTTCTACTAACTTTCCCTTCATTGAATCCATACTTCATTTACTTGGTCCCTGACCATTCCCCTCCCCACCTCCTCATTGTGAAATGTTGTCCTGATGGCAAAGTTCAATGAAAAATGAATTAACAAAGAGTGTCATCACTACTCACAAAATAAACCCCCTTTCAGAAATGTTTGTTTGCTTCAAGAATTCAAAACACACACACACACACACACACACACACACACAATCACAACTCCCTGAAATGGCCACTCTTGCCTCCATTTTGCAGAAACCTTGGATGTGATGAGTCTGCCGGGCATGCAACTTTTTTTTTCAGACGTAGATTTTCACCTTCCATTTGGCACTTTACCCTCACAACAGCCTTAGGAAATAGGTTATAGTGATTTCCTCTAATTAACAGAAGGAAATGAAGCAAATGGGGAAGCTGGTGTGTGGCAAAAACATGTCTTGGAGTCACAGAACTAGAGCTAAAACATAGAAGTATATTTTAGAGGCCATCTAGTCTACCCTTTCCATGCTATAGATGAGAAAAACTAAGGCCCAGGGAAATTAAGGGACTTGCCCGAGGTGACAAAGGTAAATGAGCATCTGAGGTGGGATTCACATCCAGGTCCCTTTGACTCTAGGGTTCAAGACTCTTTCCACTGCTACAATCAGAGTTTAAAGTCATAGAATTATAATAAGCTTTTTCACACTTCCACAAGAGTAAAACCCTAGAAATGAACCAAAAGGGGACAATTTGTCCAAAAAAGAAAAAAAAAAGGAGAAAGGTCCAGATACATTATAAACATGAGGTGAGGATTTCATAGAGTAGGAAAGATTCAATCAAGACATCACATCTGTGTGATATCTGTCTCTTCAGAGGACAACAAAAGTGTTCCTCTTCAAGTGTACACACACACCCTGCTCAGCTTCCTTATTCCTTTTCAGTAAAAGATCCAGTTCTTTCCATCAAAGGTGACCTTAAGAAGAACAAAATCATGTGGAAAATGCTGGTACTCCTTGAGGGGCGGAGTAGCCCTTTTGTCTCTGAACCAAAGGATTCAGCAACCTTTGTGCTGATGAGATTCTAATTTTAAAACCTCCAGCCCTTGAGAATTTAGAGACAGGAGAAAACAAATTTGAAGGAGAGAGAAAATGGAATAAAAGACTGAGAGTTGGTCCAATTTCCCAAACCAATACCTTCACAATTTATACACTTAAAAAAACCACCAAAGTCTAAAAAGTGTTTATGAATGCTGTATTTACAACTTACCTGAGAACTACAATAATTGGATATATTCTTCTTAGAGATTTTTAGTACTAAAGCATTCTCCTTAAGCATATGATGGTTCTGTCCAGAGTCAGGATATGTGATGGGGGAGGAGAGTAAGAAAGAGATATGGAAAGACAGCCGAAAGGATAGAGGGAAGTTGGAGTATGGCCTTGGAAAAATATCATTGAAAGGAGAAGGCTGCTTTCTACCCCTTTAGATATTCTCTGGCCCTAAGCAACAGGAGTTCTAATCAAGTCTTAGAAAGGTGGCTCTCTATCTCACAAGAATCATTACGAAAATGGTCCCTTGATTGACATCAGCTTTAAAAATAACCTACTTACATGTAAAAAATCTATAAATGCCAAACAAGGGTAGCAACATTTTGCTCTGAGTAGTTCCAGAGAAAGGAATTATATAACTTGATCTTAAAAGATGTAATTTACTATTAGTTTACTCGGGTATATGTCTTTGTATGTGTAAATTCTATGTATTATTAGAAAATCTGACCGAAAAGTATGCAAATGAGGTAACTATATTTTGATTTACATGTTGGGAAAGAATGATTATTATTTAATACTTATTGTTGCCATAACAAGTAATAACGCAAAGGTACAAAAATAGAATGAAAGGACATATGGAGGCAAATGAGACTTTTTTAAAAAAATTACATAACACATGCTCTGCTTTCCTTTCTCTCTAAACAAAATCCTCAGACTCATGTAACGAATAAGTATACATTGTTTTATATACCATCCGTTATGCCTTTGCTTCCCTGATTTTCTTCCATTCTTTTTCATTATTAATCTCCTTTTCATCCTATTCTAGCACTCATTGGGTATTATTTTTCCTTTTCCATACACCAAGGAGGAGAAGGAAATGAGTAGCTAATCTAAAGTCTCAGAGTTTAGAGGTTAGAGATAGGTTCCCAATTCTGTCCTGGAAAAATTGACCACTATATGACCATTATAACACTGTGCCATCCTTAGCTGGAAAAAGAAAGTTAAGCTCAATAATTTAAAAAATTCTTCGAAAATTTGTCCACTATGAGACTGAAAAATTATCTCTTCAATGTCTACTTTATTTTAGGTGTCCAAATATTAAACACAGAACTCAATGATACTTTGATGGATCCATTAGGGGTTCCTTCTCCTCCAATGATGCAGACTGTAACTGCTCCATGTTTTCCATCCTAAGTAATTCTTGTCTAAGTCTTCCCATAAGTCCTCCCTACTGAGGTCACCTACTAAATCTCTCGATATCGAAGTGGCCACCAATAGAGCTATGCATTCCTTCTTCTTACGGTTGAACCAGCCTTTTTCCTAGTCGTTTCTAATAATATACTTTATAGAGCTTTCCCATCTTTTCCCATTTCTATAATTTTTTTCTGAGAATAATCTGTACATACATGTTACATGTTCGCTGTTTATCATACCTGTGTTTAGTAGTTTCCCTTGATAGAAAAGAAGCTCCTTGAAGTCAGGGAGTTTCACTTTTATCCTTGCATCCCCAGTGCCTGGCCCACTGCCTAACCTAAAGTAGGCAAAAATATAGGCTTGCCATATCAATGAACAAAGGGCATCTCTGATAAGTTTTGTGAAGGGAATAGGCAGATTTTCACCAACAATATCTACTGGGCAGAACTCTGGTATAGATGACACACATTTTGGGGATCTGTGTCCTAAGCAGATAATAAAAAAGGGCACTTTGTTCACAAATAGTGTCAGCCTGGCACATAAGAGTCACTTAAAATGTTTAATGTATTGAATTAAATTGAAACCATCAACAATCTTCCATGTAACAATACTCCACAGCAGAAAATGAAAGAGTGGGGCCTGAAAAGAAAGAGTAAGCTACAGACATCTAACAGGAACCCAGACTTAATGACTTTACAATGCACCCTCTATGACAGTAATTAAGAATTACTTTCCATTTATTTCAAAATGTGGCTAATAACAGATAGTTGCCTGCTTGCTTTATCTTCCTGGAGTTGTTGTTCATCCTTCATTTTTTTGAAGAGGACCAATGACATCACAGAGTGACATCTTAACTTGCACGTGAATAGTATTTAAGTGAGGGAGGGTTGCACAAAGTCATGAGCCTCACTCTCTCCTGCAGTCATCAAAGTCCAATGGCAGGACAAAAGTCAGATGACTAGTGGTGGCTGAGGATACAGCGAATGATGGTGGCATCTTTGATGTCTGACCAAGCTCTAAGCACTCCACAGCATCTGCTTCATCCACCTTCATGGTCACTCGAACAAAAGTCTTCATGTGCTTGGGATAGACATCCCCTTAACTCACCAACAGGTTTAAGGTCTGTTGTTTACCTTCAACCTGGTTTGGCCCATCTGCCGAGAGTGTGGCCAGAGTGTGGCTGCTGCACCTGCTACAGCTTCTTGGAGCCATGGGTGAGAGTTGGGTGACAGGTGGACAGATTTGGTGCTCTATCCACTGTGCCACCTAGCTACCCCATCCTTAAGTTACTTTATTTATATTACTCTATTTTATGCATATGCGACAAAATCTTCTGGACAAACTGGTCTACTGACTATTTCACTTCCAACCTCCAATACCTTTGAATGAAACTTTGTCACCCTGACAACCTCTCCAACCCCTACTGCCCACAATCTCATCATTTCAAAGAAATGGAAAAGAAACTCTTCTCCACACCCTACATCCTATCCCACCCCCACACAAAACATTGGAAATGCAACCATCAAACACTCTCTAAAGTTATTCTACCTTCAAAACTTCTTTGACTCTTTTAGTAGTTAAAGACATGTCTACACTTGTTAGGCACACATTTATTTGAATTCTGGAACCAAGTCAAGGAAATTGATCTGTGGTGGGGATGGAGGGAGGTAAGGAACTAAACTATGAGCTGGGCTTTGTGAGCACCATGTTCCAACCACCTAAGCAAACCAATCTCTGCCCTGCATTCAATCCAATCAATATTTACTGAGTACCTAAAGCATATGAAGCCTTGTACTAGGTACTTACAGGGTCATAAAGATGTATATGGTCCCTGTGTCCAAACTTTTATTTAATGAAAATAGATTTTGCATGACTGCATATGTATAACATGTATCAAAATGCCTGCTTTCTCAAGAAAAGCAAAGGGGAAGAGGAGAGGGAGGGAACTTGGAACTCAAAAAAATTTTTTTATCTTTTTTTTTTTTTTTTGACTAGGCATAGGGTTAAGTGACTTGCCCAGGGTCACACAGCTAGTAAGTATCTGAGGCCAGATTTGAATTCAGATCCTCCTGACTCCAGGCCGATGCTCTATCCACTGTGCCGCCTAGCTGCCCCTGGAACTCAAAAGACAAATGTTAAAAATGGTTTCCAATATAACTGAGAAAAAAAAATAATAATTTAAAAGACCAAATTTCTATTTGGTAAAGTCAATTCAACAAGTAAGTGGTTATCAACTAGGCACTGTGGTAGGCACTAGAGATTCAAAGACCAAAAAACCCCACCAAAACCCTATTAGTTCTTGTCCTCAAGAAGGATATAGGGGAAAAGGAGGATGAGAGAGGAAAAACATTTGCATATATATAAAATAAAGATAATTTGGGGGAAATG